TCAGCATGTGTTAATTATAAATAATAGGTTTCATTATGGCATTGTCTTTTCTTTCTTTCCTTCCTTTCTTCTGTCCTTCCTTCCTTCCTTTTATTTTTTCGAGAGTTTGCTCTGTATAGCAGCCCTGACTGTCCTAGAACTCACTCTGTAGACCAAAATAGCCTTGAACTCAGAGATCCTCCTGCCTCTGCCACCCAAATGCTGGTATTAAAGGCATGTGCCACCACTGCCTGGCTCATTATGACATTTTCATATGTTCACATATTTTGATCATCTTTATCCCCTTTATCTTTTACCCCTCTGCTTCTTCCATTCTTTCCCCTTCCCATGTAGCTCCTCTTGTGTTTTGTTTGTTTGTTTGTTTGTGAGCCAGTTAGTTTCACTAGGGTAGCTTATGGGAGCATGGGCGAAGGTTTATTTGCAGCAAGGACATCTTATCAGTAGATACACCCCTAATAAAAGTGCCTTTCCTCCTTTCATTGACCTTGATAACTACTTAGATAAATCCTCAGGGAGGGGTGGAGCCATATCCTCACTCCATGTACAGGATGTTGCTAGGTCCTGCCTTTTGAGCTATTGTGCAGGTGATCACAGCTACTGTGAGTTCAAGAGTGAAACAGCCACATCATGCTCAGAAATCAGCGTTCTTTACCATTCCCTAGTTTCCTCTTGCTGTTTCAGTTCTTTCTGCCTCTTATTTACCTGTGTTCCCTGAGCCTTGGAGGTGCTGACGTACATGTCCCCTTTAGAGCTGAGCAGTCCCTGTTATGAGCACTTTAGCCAGGTCTGAGACTTCAACCTGGGGAAGTTCTTTTTTGGCTGATTTTCTTATCTGCTTCTACCATAATAATACAAATCTTCCCTTATCTTCTCCATCACTTTGGGCTTTTCTGATTAATTCACCACTTGCTTAGCAAGTTGCTTGCCATCTGAGAAAATTAAAAACACCACTCTCAAGACAGGAGTGTGGGATTATAAGGGGAACCAAATAGATATGAGTCTGTCCTGTGATGGGTGTATACCCACCATCTATCCAAGAGCACAATGTGTGGCCAATCCTAATGCGTTCCTCCCAGACAGCCTAAGTGCCCAGCTTTCAATGATAGAATTTCTGCAAAAATTAGAGGAACTAGTTGTAGCTGGACTTTTCTACTTTGTGGGTGCTTCTTTTTCCCACCCTTTTCCCCTCCACCCTATTTCACTCTCTAGCAGTGGATAGGAGAGAAATAAGGATAGAGGGGAGAGAGGAAATAGACAAGTCCCTGAATCTAATTTCTTTCTTGATTCTTCTTTGACCAAAGCTACTAACAAACTGCAACCAACCTCCCTGAACAACCACCAACCACCAACACCACCTATGGGGCTCTAGCATTTATATATTCACACACACACACACACACACACACACACACACACACACACACACACGAAAAGTTTCCAGAATTCCAGACATCACACAACCACAGAAACTATCTGTAGCTGGCAAAACCACACCTCTGCTAGAGCACAAGGAAAATCATAGTCAGCTGTTTCGGACAGTTCAAAGCAGCCCCAAATTGAAAGAATTCTTAAGAATACCACTACAACCAGTGACTCTATTTTTGAATGTAAATCATAACCTTTTCTCGCTGTGGCAAGCTCTATTTATTGTCATGCTAACTCTGAAAGTGTTCTCACCATTTCTCTATCCTTATTCCTATGAATTCAGCACACTCAACCCAGGAAGACCAAAAGCTGTAAGGAGCCCCTTAATGGGTGGATGCTGCCGAGTTTAACTCCCACACAAACCTCCAGACACCACATATGCCAAGAGTAATTTCCAAGGCAGGTCCCATATGCTTAGTCTCCAAAGACATAAAACATATGCACTTACAGACAAACCATAGAGAAACTCCCTTTAGCTGGTGCTGCTGTGTGCAAGGAAATCAGGCACCCTGGTTCGCATAGGACTCTGCTCCATGCTTGTACTTGCAGGCCTTCTAATCCCATTTGTCAGGAGAGAGATTTTAGATTTTAGAGTCAGGACACAGGAATACTGTGTTAAAGGAAAACCAGGTTCTCTACAGGACATGCCCTTAGTCCTTTTCTGGTATTTGTTTCTTTTCGATTCTAAGCCCTTACTGTCAAATATGTTATTAATGTTATCTCTTTCTGGGTCTCCTTCAGGCTCAGACCAACATTTTTGATACTAGCCGCCCATGGGTTGATCAACAGGGAGGAAGAAGCCAGAGTTTAAAATCAGCCAGAGTAACCAGAAGTCCTTCCTACGGCTCAGTGGGAATTCTGAAAAAGGTCCAATATCTGTGCTTGCTGTCCCTGTGAACTAAATGACACTAATGCTCCTCTGTCTTGGGAGAGTGATTTATAATTTACAGAGGCACATGATCTCATTCAATCCACTCCCCCTCCTCTCCCAGGGACCCCATGAGGCAAGGGAACCACCACCATGAGATAATGCTGGAGCAGCCTGGGAAATTCCACAATAGGTGATGGATGACGGGGGATTGTCTGGGCCCCTTGGCTCTCCTCTCACTTTGGGCTTTTGTGATTAATTCACCCAGTTGCTTAGGAAGTTGCTTTCCATCTGAGAAAATTAAAAACACCACTCTCTGGACAGGGATGTGGGATCATAAATGAGAACCAAATAGAAAAAGATTTACACAAAAACACAAGCTCAGCAAAAGAGAAAACTCTGACATTGCTAATAAGGAATAAATCAAATAAAGGCTATTAGCAGGCCCCTGGTGTGTGGGGGAGCCTTCGAAATGTTTGCTGAGCTCTTAACAATGTCATTTCTACCTGAGGTGTTCCGATATCTCTAGGGTAATCTGGCCTGCCCTGTTCAGCACTGTTATGGCCACCTGCCAAGCGAGAAAGACCTCACACAAAACCCCAAGAGTGCTAGAGAGCAGACCAGCAGATGTCTATAATCTTTAGGGCTATAGGGTCTTCCTCAGCTGAGTATACCTCAAACAGTGCTTCCTATTCAATAAGTGAGTGGGTGGCTGGCTGGGAGGCATAGAAGACATACAGATGGATCTAGCAAGGATCACAAAGGTCTAGGGATGGGTCCTTTGCCTGTGTGCATGAGAACAATCCAGTGATAAGAAAATTAGGTCAGAACTTGGATGACATGATTTCTCCAGTCCAACCCAGTGGTCTGAATCTATACTTTCCTCTTTTATTTTCTCTTATCAAAAGCTAAAAAGCACTAGCAGTGTTAGCTGCCAACATGGTTGGTCAGTGGGAACCTTTTCTGGAGGTGCGTGGGCAGATGTATTACTGTGCACAGGGTACTCAGGGGAATGGAGCATAGAGAGCATTTGATCTGTCTACTGAATGAGTTCATCAAGAATGAGGAGTCACAAAGACCACCCTGCCACAGGCCAACTCCCACCAGTCCCATTCTGAGCCAGTCACTCCAGGAGAGTGAGACAGAAGGTCCATCACTCCTTAGACCAACCTTGAACTCTAAGCAGTGGCTCCTTTCGCTAACTGTTCAACTGGTCTTCCCCCTTATTTGGATTCGTATTAGAGAACATTATGCACCAGGATTTCCCTTCAGAGAGCGCCACTTGTTAGTCTCTAGCAGGTACATGCAACCTTTGACACTGTGAAATGACGTCATTTAAAAGTTCACATTTGAGAACTGCACAATAGAGCTGTAAAAAAAAAAATTGATCATGTTTTAAGTGGGTGTATGATTTTGTGCTGAGTGAAATTTATTTCTGTTTTAGGCTGCATGTAGCTTGTGGGCCACGCCTAGAGCTCCCTGATGGTGTGACTTTAAACTATTTTCACTTTCAGTCAGGTCTTTGATTTCTGTTTTCACTAAACAAGGACTCAGTGACTCCATTGAATTGTGCTTAAGGCAGAACCATGGATGAAAAGGTTGCCCCTGCAGATTTTGCGGGCCGGGCCGGTGAGGGTGACTCAGGCAGCAGTAGCTCCCTGTGAAGGGCACGGTGGCTGACCCCAGATGGCTGTGTGGTTCAGCTTAGCCGTTATTGGTGTCCTACACACCGTCTGGTAGGGAGCCCCTCTGCGTGTTGTTTGTAAAGGCAAGACCACATTCTTCAACAATCCTCCTCTCTTCCGGGACTATAAAGCTCGTCGGCAGGCATTCTTCATCACACCATGCTGCCTCCTTGTTAGCAAGGCTTCATAGAGCTCAGCTGTTGGGTCACTCGGTCAACACTTTTTGCTCCTAGTGTCACAAATTCAACAAACGGAGACAGCAGGCGTGGCTGGGGAAGCTCCATGAGAGAAGTGTCTGCATGGTCTTGGGTGTTAAGATAAGGGACAGGGCGCATATACAGCGTGTGCTTTCCCTCTCTAAACTTGCCTAAATCAGCTCACCACTCCAGTTTGGGAAAGGCTCTTGGGGTCATCAGAGGATATCGGCGTCTTGAATCTTCCCAGGTGGCGTCTGTGTCCCCCTCACTCAAGGGCTTTTTAATAGTGGGCCTAGAAAGTCATTTCCTTTAAACCCTTAAGGTCTGGTTTATTAAATGGTCTGTCAACATGGATACTGTAACCCGCTTCTACCCAGCCGGAGGTGAAAGGCACCTTCCACCCAGCATGCTCCAGGAGGAGACCCTCTAGGACCCTTTCCAATTCTATAGGGTAGGTTCCCAAGACCCTCAGAAGCCTGGCTCCTCTGGCCAATGTCAGCTGAGACTATATGTTCAAATGACAAGCACGTGCTGAGACTGTAGGATTGATTTGTGATTTCTAAATAACAGCATCCATCTTCACTGCTTCCCAGGGAAGAGGCCAGCCCTTGTGCTATGTGTCATTGAAGCTGGTTGTCTGTGACTCCCCGGAGCACACAGTCCACTCTGGCTACTTGGGCATGAATTTCTTTCAGGAAACTTCTGTGGATTCTTCAATCAGAAAACCGGGGTGGGAGGCATTTTCCTCTTTTGCTAAGAAGTTTCTCAGCACACAACTCAAGCTGTGCACAGTGAACTCTGGGGCCACTGAAGCCTGGTACTTACCCGGTGGAAGGGTTCATGATGCAGCCTCCTTTCTCTGCAGCCATTCTGCAGCTGCAGCCCCTCTCCAGTGTGTCATGGTTCATTCCAAAGTTGTGGCCCAGCTCATGCGCCAAGGTCACGGCAGCACCAAGGGGGCTGTCTGAATGGTCCTCAAAGAAAATACAAGAGCATAGATTTTCAGTTCATATCTGCTTGGCCTTTTCTCACTCATCTTCTCTCCTTTTTTGCATTTTGTCACCACTAATACTTGGTTTAACTGAATTCCCCATAAAAAGCCTGAATTCCCCAATACAGAGCCTTGCTTAATTCTGAACATGGGAAGTAATTTGGCCTGTTTCTTTAAGCCCATTTGGGGGTTCTGCTGAGGGCTGTCTCATTATATGTGAGGATTCGTTGCTGATCTCCCCTCTGCAAAACACCATTGAGAGAGACAAAAAGTCATTCCTAATAATAGAAAGAAAAGGCTGCCTGATCAAGAGGATGTTGAATGAAAGCTGTTTCAAATCAACCCTAAACAGCTAGACTTAACCCTGTTTCTTTCTTTCTGCCTGGTAGGGGAGGATTCTGGGAAAGTTCTTGACAACCTACAATAACAGCTGATTATAACATAATTCATTTGAGGATTGATTGAATCAAGATGACAGTTCAGTTATGTCTCAGTCTTGCTTGCCCTTTAAGTTGACCTCAGACACAGACAGAGACATTCAGATTCTCTGATGGGGGGAGTTGTTGGGATTCACATTAACCTTTCGCCATTAGCAAGCATGGCTGGCTTAACTGAATCCGTGGATAGCTTGGCTCAAGTAGACACTTAAACATAACTAAAAATACAGTTACTTAACTTAATCCAAGATTGGTTAATTAGCAGATGTGATTTATAGAAATTCTGCTAGTGAGTGGAGTTTTGGAAAATGTGTTCATACCTTGAGGCAAATTAGTATCTTGCTCTTGCTTGAATTTTGGTTTGTGTTACCCAGGAAAGAGATAACAGGTTTTCCAAAACATGTCCAAAAGAGAGTATGGTACTATGTTTAGAAAAACCCTTATTTCCAGTCTTTCTGAGGACCCTGGGTAGAGGCATGTTTCTGTGAGAGCTGGCAGAAGCCATAGCTCAAGGGCAGAGCTGTCACTCGCCTATTGTTTAAGAAGCAAGTTGTTAGAATAGATAAAATTCCTGATAAATTACCTCATTTACACATCACAGTTTCCTGTTGTAGAAGTATTATAGATCTCATGTTTCAGGAAATCAATTCTTAATAACATGCATTGGCGGAGGGAATGTTGCCACTGTCATGTGTGGAGGCTGAATTTAGTTAGCATGTGTGGCTCAGAACTCAAGGAACTTGTTTCTCAAGAACACTCAACTACCAGTGTTCTGTCCTGTGGAATATCAGTCTTATTTTTAATTTTTTGAGTTGCTTTATATCATGCATAAATAAATGGAATCTGTCTTAATTAAGGGCTACTGGTAAACCTTTTATGCCTGCTTACAATTAGGATGAAAACATCTTTTTGTGTGTCTGGTGCCATGTCCAGATCAAGATTTTTTCTTTCTTTCTTTCTTTCTTTCTTTCTTTCTTTCTTTCTTTCTTTCTTTCTTAGTTAGTTAGATATAAAGGCATGGCTTTAAATTACTAAAATTAGAGTTGTTTTATCTTGAAACAATGGAAAATGGTCTTAGAAATATTTTGAGGGTTCCCTGCCTCTTCTTAACTTTCTTTCTCTGTATTTGAGGGTCCTTGGGCATGGTGATGTCCGCTCCTAATAAACACGGTTCCAACTTCGGGATACAGTAACAGAAAACTAATGTAGATGGTTTTGGTCTGGGTGGGATATTGATTTTATTGTCTCATGAATCCTACAAATATCAAATATCCTATTTGATATTTCTCTGTGGGATAAAAATGGTGTGTATATTATCTGCCATCTAATTGGTAAAACCAATTTATTTAAAAACATATTTCATTTTAATTATGTTTCTATATGACTGTGTCTGTGTGTGGGTTTTCTCACATGAGTACAGCTCCCACATGGAGCCCAGAAGAGGGCATTGGGTCCCTTGGAGCTGGAGTTACAGTCAGGAGCTGCTTGACTTGGGTACTGGAAACCAAAGCTATATTCTCTTGAAGTGCAGCACTGTGAACTCTTTATTGCTGGGTCCTTTCTTCAATTAACAATTGAAGAATTAACAATTGCTAATTAACTTTGGGCCTCACTAGACTATCACGGCATGACACATAAGTTGCCTCTATTTCTCATCTTACTTTCACATATTCAAAACAAACAGCTTTTTTTTTTTCCTGCATGATTTTAAAGCAGGGCTCTTGGTAATTACTTCTATGGAAACAGAGCAAGGGATATGAGCCGACAAGTCCTTTACCCTGTCATGTGGGACATGGGATGCCTCAGCTCTCTGCAGGGCCAGGATCCACGTTGATTATGAAGAATTCCATTTTGGCTTCTGAACATATTTGTGCCAGTTTTAAGTGGCAAAGTCGGTAGCAACTAACCATGGAACCGTGAAACTGAAAATTACTCCCTCTTAAAATTTTACAATCTGTTCTATGAAAACATAGCTGTGATCTGACTTGAAATGAACCTGGCACCAGCAAAACCCAAACTTTCCAGTGACTTCCATGATGGAGATCACCGGCAGGGCTTCCATGTTCAAAGGAAACCTGAGAGGAGCCGGTTCAAGCCAGCAAGCCAGTGAGTGGGTGAAGGCCCTCCACATAGCCTACCCACCCAGTGCATGCTTGCATAAATTACCTACCACTGTTCCCAGATGGGAAGAGAATGTTTATGTACCGTCACTAGAAAGATTAGATTAGCCAGTACGCAGAGAAAATAACACTCAGCAAAATGTAACTGTTCCACCCTTTACTTCGACTGGACAATCATGGACACTCTGTATGAAGGGTGGGGAGGGGTCATGGATTTTTGGGAGGGCAAGGGTGTATTTGTTTAATGGAGATGGAGGGAGACGTACTGAGGGTACTTCCTGTCTGAGAGCTGGTACCATAGTGGAACACTAGATTCTCAAGGGACAACCCGGTATGAGAATGCCTTTTAGAACTTTCAGCAGGGTTAGAATGGGAGGGAGCACTCCCCCTCCCTCTTGGGCAGCAAGTCTAAGTTCCTTCCATTAAACTCCTAAGAAATCTCAAACGTGCTTCTCGTTGTACTTCCTTTTACAAACACATATAGCCCCGTATATGACAAAGTTACCCCTGTAAAGCAATAAACCTAGGCCTCTGTCTTCCAAGAATAAGGTTATGATAAAGACAAATTGTACTCTGGCCAGAAGGTATGGAAAGCATTTGCAATGGTACATAGTGAAAAACCTCAAACTTCTGACAGTTGGGCGCAGAGGCAGAACCATCAAAAAAAAAAATTACTTGAGTGGCAACATTTAGTGTAGAACCACAGTCTATCAGCCTCCCCCCAAAAACCCTGAGCACGGAGGGTAACCCCCATGTCCTGGCTCCTACCACCACCAGGAAACATTCCTGGGTTGAGATACTTCGACCAATAGTCCCAGTTGAGATATTTCTCCACAGAAGGGGCTACTCTTCCATGTCTGCCTTTCCTGTGTTCTGTCTATGTCTTCTAAACTGTCCCCTACATGTAGAAAAACAAATCATAATGTAGGTGGATTAAAAGTTAGAGGTAAATCTAGGAAGCATCAATGGGAAGGAACTAACTTCACCAGGTCTGCAAGAGTAGGGATTTCCTAAGGGAATCATTGAAAAGGGAAGACATCTTCCGGACATCTTTGGCTTACCATGACAACTCCTCCAGACTGCTCTGCGGTGCACATGCTCATTATGGGTGCCATGCCAATGGTGGTGCCTTGGAAATAAACCCCACTGGAAAACAGAAGGAAGGGCTTCATTTAATCTTACACATTATGGATGCATATCCCAACATTTCAAATATTGTTAGGCAGGTCTGTCACAGAATGTTCAATGATGCAAATAGCCCCAGGCGGGAGTATTTACTTGTGACTTTTATCTTTTTTTTTTTTTTTTTTTTTTACAGGTTCCTTTTCTAGTCACAATATGGTCCCATAATTCTTGAAGAGTTTTGCTGTCTAGATTCAGACAGGGGCCAGGCGTTACTTTGTATTTATAAGTTGTAGTTTGCCTGCTTCCTGTAGGGAGCTGTTGCTTTGAAACAACGCCTGTTGATGGAAAGGCTGCAAAGTCACCCGGATTCACTGTTTGCTAAAGGAAACATAGGAGACAGCTTGGGAGATTTTCTTTGGAGGTTCTTCTGGAGGTTGCTTTCCTGTGTAACTCATCATCGCCAGACACGAAATCCTTCAAAGAGTTCTGCCAATATGGCTTTTGAGACTGAAACCAGCAGAAAAACGATCGCTTCTCTAGAGCCAGTGTAGAGCAAGTAAGTACCCACAAAGCTTTGGCACCAGGCAGAAAGCTTCTGGAAGGGAACTTCGTGGCTTCCATGTAGGCGTTCTCTTATCTGGAATCTCAACCTGATCATGAATCTAATCATACTAATCAACTGTTTCAAGCAAGTGTGTTTGTTAATCCCAGCCTCATGCATTAAATTTTTAACACTGTATTTCTTGGACTCCTACAAAATAATCAAGTGACTTAGTCATGTTTTGTTGGCCAACAAAGACAATGTACCAACACAGACAATGCATTTAGAGTTTAAAAAGTCAAATATGGGGCTGGAGAGATGGCTCAATGGTTAAGACCTGGCTCTTCTTCCAGAAGACCTGGATTCGATTGCCAGCACCCAAAAGCTGCTCACAACTGTCTTTAACTCTAGTCCTAGGGGATCCAACTTTCTCTTCTGGCCTCTGTGAACACCAGGCGTGCACACACATGGTGAATACATATACATGCAGGCAAATACCCATACATATAAATAAAAGAAAAGAAAAGCCAGATATCTTCACAGTGACTAACTGAGCAGAGGTAGCATGTGAATAAACAGCATGGTTTCTTCCTTCTTCTGCTTTTTTTCTTCTTTAGTTTTCCCTTCCTTTTTCTTTATTTTCTTCTTTTAGCATCTATCTATCTATCTATCTATCTATCTATCTATCTATCTATCTATCTATGGCACTAGAGCCATCCCTTGTTATCCATAGAGATTAAGCTCAGAATCCTCTGAGGGTACAAAACTCAAAGATACTCAACTCCCTGCATAAAATGACATTGTGTATTGTGTTTGCATAGAACCTATGCATGCACATGCATGTAATCCGATCTCTTGATTTCTTGTCCTTAATGCATTGTGATGTTGTCTGTCAGTCATTACACTGAATTATCCAGAGACGACAGGAATGATGGTCTGCACATGCTCAATAAAAATACAGCTTTTTCTCTGAACATTTCTGATTTGAGGCTGGTTAGATCCACAGGTGTGGAACACTCAGGTGTGGAGGGCCTGTATAACTCATGTTCACAGTGGCAGGCACTTCATTCAGCCCTTTTATTTACAGCTGCTCATATATACAGACCGCATGAATGGTTACAGCTATACATACAAGTAAATTAAGAAGGTTAAAGAAGATGGTAACTTATTTCCAGATGTTTAGGTTGGGCAGATTCCTTTAGTGGAAAAACAAAATAAAACAAAACATTCCAACTCAGAGTACACGGGCTGTACTTTTAATAGTGCAAGACTGACCAGTGCATAAAATGGGGAGCAACTGAAACACATCCCCAGGGGACCCCAGAGAAACGGCCAGAGTAAATGATCAGGGAATGCCGACAAAACTGAGAGTGGATGGAGGCATTTCCTGAAGTGAACGCAAGGCAGAACCATCTTGTTCCCTCCTCATAAATGTTCAACAAGCTCGATCTGACTGGACAAAGAACAGGGACCCCTGTGTCTGAACGTTTCGCTTTAGTGATTTAGGTTACATGAGAACAAACGAATAACGGTAGGAAGTGCCTAAAGATTAGAATAAACGTGTGCAGTTTCCGAACACATCTGCTTCCTATGAAGTCAAGCTAAACTAGAGACAGTCTCTTCTTTAAAGTGCAAAGGTGCCTAGAGTCACTCACCATATGCTGCCAGACAGTCGAGCTTCCCCCTTCCCTTCCCTTCACCACAGCAGTTGCTACTCTGATGCTTTCTAGTCTTCTGTTTCCTTGCAGCGGCAGGCAGGTACTCCTCAGAGCAAGAATGCTTAATACTGGGTACTGTTATGTTCAAAGCACCTACCTGGATCCTAGCAGGTCCCAGTGAGTACTGACTCGAGGAAGAACACAAGGCCAGGGTGACACCCACTGACCTGGAAAGCCAACGGCACGTCTCTAACAGAGGAGAAAGGCCCTTTTCCTAGGTACCCGACAATCTTCGCTCCTATGCCTTGCTCTCAGATCTTACAAAAACAGATTTTTTTCCACTAATAATAGACTACTTGAGGCAATCTTATTAAGACTAAAACCAGAAAATTTACCGTAAGGAAAATGCCCAGTTATGGGGAAAAAAGAAAAAAAAATGACAGTCCTGCAGATGCACAGACTTCCCAATGGAGCTATGATGCCAGCCAGGGATGTGCTTGACCCCTGACGCAGGCTGGGAAGTCCCTGAGAGAACTCAATATGCTGTGTAGACAGATGTGGCTTTGGCAACCCAGGGAAAGTATATGTAGATGGCACTGCATGTTTAACAGAGGAAGACAGTGCTTCTCACCTGATAAGCTGAGCATTGTCATGGGATTTGCGAGGTAGAAGCTTAATCTTTCTCCAGTCTAGAAACTCATGAAGGCTGGTGAACGGATCCTGGCTTATAGAGCATTTGTCGATGTCATTCCACACTTCCACCCCTACCAGCACGATCCGGATGTTTAGCGGTCTGTAAAACTAAGAGAATGGGCGTCCTTGAAGGATCACATTATCAGGAATTTAAAAAGAAAATTGGAACTGATTTCACTGTTTGAAGTCCACTGTTGTAAGTTAAGAAAACCCCTCTCTGTGAAACTTTGTTCCCATGGCAATGAAATTTAAGAAATAGTCTTAGTACCTGATGCAAAGTGAAATGTTAACTGGGCTCTGCAATGTTGACCAATTTGATGCTAAAGTTATCAGCCATTTCTCCTCTGTCTGCCATTATGTGCACAGAAGGGAGCATTTTAAGAGACTTGGCATGATTTAAGTGTGGGTGTAGATGTATGTTACCATTTAATATACTAGCAGTTAATATCTACAAGAAAAAATAAGGACTGAATGAAGATCATTCAGATAGCTCTGCCAATAATAATAGTATTTTCATTTTAAGTAGAGTGTTCTGTCTATGAGGTCCCGGAAATGAACCTGAGTTTCTCAGCAAAGACTTAGCCTTGGCTGACGCCATCATATTCCGTCACCTATCAAGTTAGTAAGTTTAGTGCTTTTTAGAATAACAGAAGCATAGACAAACTTTATGACCATATTTTTCACACCATAAATATGGGAAGATCTGTCATGTGGAGTTCTTGTCACAGGAGCTTGAGAGAGAAAGCTTCAAATAGACCCAAAGCGAGTCTTCTCTTTTACCCCTACATTTAGGCAGTAATGATGTCAACCAAAGCCTTCCCCCACCCAAAGTTCATAAGAGATAGAGGGGGAAGATAACTCTTCTGGTTGTCAGAGGGTGGCTCGGCTCACCTAAGCCTGGAGGGGCAGCATGAGTGGCTAGGCAACATGGACTGCACATCAGTCCATCCTGGGGTTGATGCTGAGGGACTTTTAGATGCATTGTTCGGCCACAAAGCATCTATTCAGCTAACAACTGATATGATTCCCATTTATAGTCCAGGCAGTGAGGCTGGGAAGGGCCCTGTAAGCTGTTCCAAATCGTGCTTACTCCGTATGGACTAGCACACCGACAGGGAGATGACTCAATGATCGCGGCAAACGGGGGAAGGACATGAATTATCTATTAATTTTTTTGATGCCAGTGACATACAAGTCCACACACAACCAGAAAGTCCCCGCCTTCTGAGACCCTGGATACACAAGGAGAAAAGCTGGGCTAGTGATAGGTTCTAGCCAACTCTGGAGGGAAGCAGATCCTCTAAGTTTCTAGTAACATCTGGCCAGCAAGGAACACGGATCCCAGCAGCTCTGCACTTGGGAGTTGAGCACCATTCCATTGTGGTGAGGTAAAGTTCAAGGAGCTCCCAAAGGCCAAGCATCTGACCCAAGATTCTCAGCCCCATGCGAGAGCCCATCCTTTCCCTTGTTGATTCCCAGGGTCATGTGGTGAACACTGGGTCAGCAGAAGAACTCAGAGAACTCAGCTGGGGCACAAATTATGTCATGGACTATGCTAATTGCAGTGGCCCAAGCTGGGGTTGGACAGATAACAAAGACCATACGAAATTAATATATTAATGATACAATTACATAAGCAAAATGTTTTCCAATGGTATGTTTTTTTTTTTTTTTTTTTTTTTTTTTAAATCAAGAAATCATACAACTTGTGCCTATTTGCAAACCTCTAGCCTGGGTTTCCCAGGAAAAACAGTTCCAGGATCCTCCTGAATGATGCCTGTGCATGTCGGGGGCACCCTCAAGATGACATCCCCAGTTGCATCATATACAGAGGTCACAGTAATTAGGAAAAAAATATTCAATGCTGATGCTCATGCCAGCTTTCTAAGAGATTCCATAGGGACAGATATTCTGAGTGGCCTTGAGGACTATCTTCTGAGAAATGAACACCGCCTCCCAGGAATATTGAATGGAAGTAAGAACTAAGGTTGGTCCAGGCCTGTCGTATCCTCTTTCTCATTATTAACCTAGCAGCATACCAACCACGGAGGTGTTTGTTGTACACCAATGGAGAGGTTGTATTCTCTGTGAACCCTCTCTGAGCACATTCTAGCCCAGGCTTCAGGCTTAGTCACCTCCTCTCTAAAGTTGGTGCCCTTGGTTAACATCTATGTGTGCTATGCCTACAGCAAGTCATCATGCACTGTCTCTTTACTACCTTCTCTAAGTGTTCTTCCGTGGTTTGCCCATAGGTCATCTTGGTTCTTGTTAGTAAAGTTTAATGAGCACAAGTATACCCCTGGCTTGATGCCAGTGTGCCCTGGATTAGTCCATAAAGCAATTTTATGGATTAGGAACTGTTATTGTTCCCATTTCAGAGTCAAGGCACTGACTCTGTTCAAGATCATGACTGCACGGCTGGGCTGGTGCATAGATACGCTGACAGTCACATTGTGAGTACTGTGACTCCAGACTTCCACAAAAGCTCATGAGCCTGTGTAGGACAAATTGAGCTTGGCAGCTGCCTGCCTGGCTCCAGGACCCTAGGATATATGTAGACACAGTCAGAGACCCAGATAAGTGATTCTCCTACATACACGAAAGCCACACATGTTTGCTGTCAGTTCTTGCTGTGTGCAAGAACCTGGTACAAGCAGAGGAAATATTAGGATGGCCTCCCCCTGGCTTAGCTGCTCAGATATCCCCACAAGGCTCTAGGACACAGGACATGCTATCACGTCTATGTTAACTGGACATGAATCCAGTTAACTGACATAGTACCCCACTGAGTAATAGCACAAATGGGAAGTCCAGGGGTGTGCTAGAGGGTCAAACTTTCCAGAAGGAATGGATTAGAAATAAAGGAGGTAGAATCCCCTAGGGTTCCAGGAGAGCTTGCATTCTTTAGGCTTGAGAGGAGGAAAAGGGGGGGGGGTGGTCACACGAGTGAAGACAGCTGAAGAAATTCAGAGTCCTTCAGAGGATGGCTACTGAGGCTTGGAGCTGAAGTCACAGCTTAAGAAGGTCGTGCTGGAGTGATGGCTTCAAGATGCAAAGCTTCGGTCTGCAGATGCTTAGCCCTGCTGTTCCTGCTGCAGTGTAATCAAGACCCAGGAAGAATGCCCCATAGATTTTTTTCTAGAAGCATGGATATCAGACACATTCTGCTTCTGTTACCTGGGATTTCCTGACCCTCTCTAGGATCTCACCTTTGTCTCTAAGTCACGTCTTTCCCTCTCTCTCTCTCTCTCTCTCCAAGTCTGGGGTTTTCTCATTCTCCAAGCCAGTACAACTAAACAGTTATTAATTTAGAATGCCCAACCGAGCCAAGATGTCAGCAAATGAGGAAGTGGCCACTGAGATAATCAATGAGTTTTGGGCTGAGACTATCTCATGAGTGTAGTTGCAAAACTGGGAAGTCTGATGTTGCCTGGAGCCATCAGCCAACACGTGTGGGTACAGAGTTGCCCAAGGAGTCTGACTGTCCCTTCCAGGATCTCTAGGTGCTGGAGCTGTTGAAAGGTGAACAGGAATACCAGGGCTAAATGTGTCTTCATGATCAGCAAATTGGCTCTGCCCTCCCTCCAGGCTGGCATGCTTGACCGAGTCCACCAGCTCTTCTAGAGGCATACTGTTCTTTAATGACCAGCACAAGCTATTAACAGACACCCACCCCCATCTGCTCATTTTCGGTTTTATGAGCTGAAGCGAGATAAAACCTAGAATAATATGTAAAGACAGATACAGGCAGAGGACCAGATGTATTACTTCTTATAATGAGGTTTCTGCAATTTCTAGTTGGATGCTAATGTAGTCCATCATTTCCTTTTACTTCTGAGGGACAGGATGAACTCTTTCCTTCCTTAGGGGGGTGGGAGGGCTCTCAGATGATGGTCTGCTTTGGTGAGGGTAGAGTGCTGGCCTGGCCTCTTAGCTATCTAAGCCTTTCACCCGCTGTCACTGAGTCTCCATTTTATCTCACCTATTTTAAGGCAAACTCTGGATGGCTCCATGTCAAGCCCCCTCCCAGGCCAATCAGACCAGAGTAGGAAGGCTGAGATTTCTTAAAGGGGGATCACATGAACGAACAAAACACCCCGGGGACTTCTGGTGGCCCATGGTTTTGATCCTGCTTTTCCATTTTGGACAGGTCTCTGGTAGCCCACGCTAGCCTCCATCTCACTAAGTAGGTGAGTATGACCTTGGACTTCTGATGTCCTGCCTCTGCCTTCCAAGGGCTAGAATTACAGGCAAGCTCCACCCTGGCCAGTTTATATGGTTCCAGGGACAGGATTCAGTGCTTCATGCATGGAAGGTGAGCACTTTACTTACTTACATCCTCAGTCCCTGTGACCCAGCTTTAACTCCTGTGCTATGCTTGACATATTTCCCAGGATCCATGCTTTACCCTGCTTGCTAAAAGATTGGTTCCCTAGCCAGGATCCCCCTTCATCCCTTGACTTTAGGATGTGCGAAGAATTACTACTGAAACATACTTAAAAACCATGTATTGTGATGGTGTTCAGTCTGCCTCAATGGTCTGATGAAAAAACTGGGACTTTGGGGCAGTCTGAATTCCAATTCATTAGCTCCCACCCTGGCTCTGTGTGCCGTGTTCACAGACAAGCACAATCATGCTGTATACATGCACAATCATGCATGTATACATGAGCATAAGTGAACATGTATGTGTGCATGTGCCTAAGCTCTGTGACCACAAGGAGCTGCTTACTGTATCTATAAGGGGCGGGAGCAGACTAAGCCATTCCTTGTTCTGAGAGAACTCACTTGCCCACTCTCTATCTTGCAAGGTCACTGTCTCAATGGTAA